TCAAAATAGAAACATAAATAATTTATATTCAGTTAACTTACACATAAATCCTGGTTTGTTGTATGTCTCAGTTTTTAAGGGGGTCTCTGTTATGGTTACTTTGTTAAAATAAAATGGCCTGAATATAAACTTCAGGATAAATAAAATTTATTTGAAACCAACAAAACATTAATATTAACCTTTTAATGCTGTCTACACATGGGAAGTATTGACTTTGCAAATAAATACATCCACTTTAAAAAACAGTAAAAAAAACATAGGGAACACTTACAGCAGCCTCACAGGTGAAGAAGACCTGGCCTCTGGGTCCTTTTATACCTGTTGGTATAAATGATCATTTATGATTATTTAAACTGCATTTCCCAATTTGACATTGTAAAAAGTAAGAATTTTACCAACATCACTAAAAATTAAGAATCTGTCTGTACGTCTTTTTTTGTTTTAAATTAACAACAACATTTATGATGAAACCCAAAATGATAATCATCAAATAACAAAAAATTTAAATAATTCCAATAAAAACCCACAGAGGCATCACTAAAATCTTAGGATACAGATACATACTTGTACTTACAATGTATATATAAATGCATTCAAAATCAACTGTCAGTGAAGAATGAAAAACTTTACAAATAAATACTTTCAGGATTTATTTATATTTATAGAATTCAAAAATTATCAATGTGTTTTAAATAGTAGAAATATTATTGCTATTATAATAACAGATTAGTTGTTATAAGTAGCAGTACTAGTTGGACTAACACTGACATTGTACATATTCTATCATATGTATTTTTATGTTATTTTATTTTAATCTAATTTGGTTTAATTTCCGCCTGCAGTGAGTACAAAGCCTGGACTAACACTAACTTACCTAGTTAAGCAACAACCAAGTGGAAAAGAACTCTGATCCTGTCTTACTCAGTGTCACATCAAATAATGGGGGACAGATTTTCTTTCCTCATTCTGGGACAGATACAGGAAAAAAAAAAACCTCAAATGGCTTTGAAAACCCTGGGTGCCTGCTTCACCAACGCCCTATGTTACAACGCTGCATAAAAAATGACATGCGAGTGGCACTTTTGAATATTCATGACCAAACCCAACGGCTGTTTGTACTGCGGCATTAATTAGTAGCTGGAGGGGGAGCTAAAGCCCAAATAAGAAGCAGGAAAACTCGGCGCTGGGACGCTACGATCTCAAAGAAAGAGTATGAAAAAGTGAGAAATTAGTGACGGGGGTGTGTGTTACTGCTGTGTCAGTGCCTGGAAAAGTACAGGATTAGAGCACAGAAGGCTTTTGACTTTGGAACTTTACTGAACAGACAAAGACGACACTTTGAACTGAAATTACAGTCCTATGGCCTTGATAATCTTTGATAGTCCTTGATCTTCCTTGATATTTCTTGTGAAACAGCTTTTCATAGCGAGATAAACTTTACCGTTTAATTCAGAAAAAAAAAAGGATTCTATACAGTTTTGTAGTCCTCACATCTGTGTACAGTAGTGCCGGAACTATTTCACAAACTTAACACACCAGTCCTTGAAGCTCGGACACCTCTTGGAGGAACTATGTGCTGAAACTACTTTCAACACCGCGGCCAAACACAAAGAGCAGAGAAGCAGACGAAACAATGTCATTGTTAACGTCTCAGTACTTCACACTAGGAGAACTAAACATTCAAGTCAGAGATGTGAAGAATGAAGACAAAAATGTCACCAAATACCTGGACAAAATTTAAAATTGCCAAACTTCTGTCAGATATTCACAAAACATCCACATCCAAAACTGTAGGATGTACTGTATTCCAGCGCAACTACATAAAAGCACACTGTTCATCAATTTGCCACAGCAATAGATGTATTTGACCAAGGGAACAAAAATAATAATGTTACCAGCTGGCAGCGGTGACTAGGTCAACACCATAAACAGACTCAGTAGCTACTGGAGGATCTAACGGCTCACAAATTCTTGGATGTTGGTGAGCCATGTTGTTATTTTTAGAATCCAACATTGTTTTTTATTATAATTTTGGTCTACCTCATATATTTAGGGGCATGTTCAAGACCCCAAAGGATGTTGAAGATGTTTGAAACTGAAATCCAACTGCATGAAAGTATTTCACAATGAAACCTGTTCCTCTGATTGACCCTGGTCATACGCCTACACAATCTGGGGTGCCCGTTTTTGAAGTTGTTTTCTAATGTTGGTCAACGTCCTAACTCTTAGGTCTCTACCAGGCTCGGGTCGACAACCTAGAACATGGCTGTGAACATGTTACAGCAGAGTGTAAAACAGATGGCAGCGGACTTCACAATTTTAGGCAAAGTTTTCGTTCATAAAAATTAGACGATTTTGTGGAGAGAAAGAATTCCGAGGTACTTCAACAGCTCTTTTGATGTCACTGCTATTATCCGTTGGTTTTGCTCTTGTTGGTTGGTGCTCGAGCCCAAATGATGTCAGTCTTTAAAGAAACCTCTTCTTTTCGGGAGCTACAATGCGTATATACCATTAAAACCTATGAATATTCAAAGGAGAGACGGTCGGTTAAAGAGTCGCAATCATCATCTGCACGGTTAAAAGAGAGCAGTTTTCACTGTGTGAGAGACATTAGCATGCCTTTGAAACGAGAGACCTTGAGTGTGAAGGAGGCTTTTCCATACTACACTTTGGAATTTCATTTATATGCACAGACTGTAGGGTCTGTGAGGCCAAGGGATGTTGTAGAGGGGCAGGAAAAGGATCCACTCAGTGCAGGTACAGTATGGTTTCCATTGGCCCACAATGTAATAACCGTTTTTAAACTGGCTCTTCACACACCACTGAGTTTCTTGTGAACTTATAGAAACAATCTCACAGCTGAGGAGAAAGTATATGAGCTATAAAGGTAATTGGATGCCCTGCTTGAACATCTTTGAGTTTCCTCAATGATACCAAAGGACTGTGTTGAAGCGTTCGGTGGTTTTTACAGGATAAAAGTGTTGATTTTCAGCTCTTTGTTTAAATACCTGAGTTAGTTTTTAGCGCGACTCTGCCACTGGTGACCTATGAGCGCCTCTCTGGGAATTATGCATGCTGATTATGCCACGTAGTCCTCTGAATTGTAAATCCCTCACAATTATACATCCCATTGTCTATTCATTATTTCAAAACGGATGGCGAATTATGTAAAACTATCTCTTAAGAGGAAAGCAGCGTGTAATATGACTTGCCATATCGTTCATGCAATTCAAATAGTCCAAGTCGAGAGTAATCAGATTTAAATGGAGTCTGACTCGCGTGTCGTGTGAGATTACGACGTGCTGGAAGATAAGCTATGATAACTTCACCAAAGTGCCACGAGGTGAGAGCGTCAGGGCACGGAGCGTCTTCCAATTAACTCAAACCTGCCTGGAGGTTAAATATATAAGTGTTGACTAAGAGTCCAAGTCGTCCGCCTGTCTTTAATGGCAGAGGACGTGAGTGTGTCCCACTGTGACATGTCTGCTTTAATGCAGACTTTCTATGTATGTTGATATATATTAGGTGATAATCTAAACATAACAGTTGGCCATTTGCCCCTCCAATAATATAAAAGCTATTATGATGTGATTACTATATTTTGAGGAATTTTTATGTTTAGCAAAAGTCTATGTAAGTAAACTCTATTCAAACACATTTGGTCAGGTTTCTACTATACACATTCCCTTTTATTTTGAAATTTTACGTACATGTTGAAGTGGGCTGACCACTGATTGACTGACCACACATAACTTTATTAATCACTAACTAGACCACTGTGGGTTTTGCTAAATAGAAATAAAAATCAAAAAGTTAAATGTGAGCTCAAAAGTTAACAAACTAACAAAATAAACAAGACAAACTGTCAATGAAAATTGACAGTTAAGCACGACAAAGCTTAAGCTTGCTAAGCTGAAAGTTGATGCTACCAGTTAACATTATTTTTAAAAAGGCACAAAAACATCTAACAGCTACAGGATATGCCAGAGAAAAAACAAAATGTCTAAAAGACTGTGTCCTAAAGTTAGAGTTATGAAAAGAAGTTTAAACTTTGCCAAAAAATGTAATACATTTAAGGTAAAATTTAACTTCCAGAAATAAAGGTAAAAAAATTACTTAGATAGATGAACAAAATATTTAAAAATCATTAATACAATGAATGGATGTATATTTTATTTAGATAATAACAAATCAATCATGGCTGCTGCAATTCAGGGATGAATTTATTCTCCTTCTCGTTTCTTCACTCTTCCTGATAAATGTGAAACCCACGTTCACATTTTTAATTTTATCTACATTTTTTTGACCATTTTCCATTTCACAGGTGGGCCACCTGAGGCTCACATCTATTTTGTCTGCCCCACATGAAAGCCTGCAGGACGGCATCACTGCCACAACTGACCTACATCAGTATGGTACCCATGATCATTTTCTTTTCTATTTGGTGTCACTGTATGAATTGAAGCTGTCTACTCTTTAAGTGCAGTATATTTCATGACTTTACTCTGGTTACATTCTACAGACAACATCTAGGATGAAGATGCAGGTTTTGCTGGTGTTATCATCACAAAAACAGGATTCATTCTTCCTGTTTCACCTACAATATAACCAACGATATAACTGATATATGATATAACAGTTTCTCCAATATCATGAAATTATTTTTTTAATGTAAAAATTATTAACTGTCCTCTTGAACCGGTCCTGTGTGTAAATTAGTCAGTTTTTATGAAACATTTTCTCATGGAGTTGAACTACAATACCGCCATTCTTCATACAGTTGCTCTATCAATGACGTTTATCTGGTTTTGGCACTAGTCCAAAAACTATCACTATCACAAAAATATACTACTATTACGTATAAATAATATATTTAACAAATAAACATTAGATATTGCACTAAACACATTCATTAAAAAATACCAACAGCGTGACTTTAGTGCATCCATTTTCTTCATTCACTACTATACAGGTCCGCTTAGCAGTAGCCACTTAGCATACACTTCACACTCACTTAACATCAACCCTCTCTCGATAACCGACTATTTTAGCTCGTATGTACACAGCTAATTACTTACTCACATATTCAACTCATAACATATATTAGGTTCACCTGAATTAGTGTTTGTTTACTGACCTGTGGTAAGAATAAAGGAGATACACGTTTTGCTGGCGTTATCATCTCGGCAGCAGGATTTATTCTTCCTGTGTTCGCGAAAATTCCATACTACTATAAATGCGAAGCGCCACCTAGTGGTCTAACATGTCATAGCAACGTTGTGATGTCAGTACAAACGAATGATTAAATAAATGAAAATAAATGAAGAATAACAACAAAAGGTATACTAGGTGTCTATCCTTACCGAGCCTAATTTCTGCTATGGTTTCAACATTTCCTTAGTATTTACATGACCTTATTATTTTAACCGTCCGTCCATCCAGGTATCCATACACTCCCCCAAGCCCCCCGCCCGCCACCTCCCACCCCTTCCTCCTCCTCTGTAAGTCTCCTCCTCTGCTGAGCACAGGTATTTGTTTAGGAATCTCTCGGTGGAAATTATACTCCATCTCCGCCGTCTCCCTATCAACACACAATTATCATGGGCGCTCATGCAGAACAGTGCTGAATTCAGCTGGGACTCCCACTCTGATGACATGACTGAAGACTCCGGCTGCTCCTGGAGGAAGCTGCCACCTCACCTGCATTAAACCCTCCGCCACCCTCTCTCTTTCTTGCTCTTTCTCCCTCATTTGTATATGGATGGAGAGATGATTAAACTTTTTTTTTAATCTTATTGGGATTTCATTCAAAGCGGGAAGTCCGCCAGATAAGAATTTTCTCCTTTTCTCCTTTGGGGGGACGGGGGGTGGGGACTCAGCTGAAAAAGGACTATTCCGTCCTGAAACAGAACCATTTGTTGGATCTTATCATGCGCTGCATTACCATCTCCTAACCCCAGTGGCCTCTCAGCGTGGTTCACCTCAGTGGAGCTGCTCCTCACTGTATGGCTGAAAACCGAAGTTTTGCCGCAGCAGAAGTGTAAGAAAGTGTGATTCTCCATCATCAGATTCTCCTGCGGAGCCACATCCAATCTCAGAGAGTAATCAATGTCTCACATTGTGTCGCGTCTCCTCTCAGCTCTCTCTCTCAGATGCATTTCCTTATGTATGATAAGTTTATTATAAAGGTGCAGAGTTGATACGCACCGAGTCGACACAGGAGTCCATTCAGATCCTGATCAAATGCTCCATTCATGAGTGAAATTACCCTGCGTCTGTCAGCCAAGGTGTGAATTCTTTCATCTACAGATTCCTCCTCTCAAGTTGTGATTAAATGCACGGACACCACACACACCCAGCAACACACACATACACACATACACAAACGCAGACATACACACTTCATAAAGGAAGGACGCAGATAAGCAAAATGAGATTCCAAACACACAGGGTTGACGTTCATACGCAATGTAACAGGTGGGACAGGGGCGCCATCTGCTGGTATCATCTCTCTCAAACGTAAGGGATTAAAGATACAGATTTTGTTTCCCACCTGATGGGTCTCAACATCCTCTAAAACAACTGTATTAATGTAAAGTCCAATGTTATCTAAAAAAAAAAATAAACAAATAAAAAAATAAGCAAACCACAAAACAAATTTTTGGTCATTGAAAAAAAGATTCTTCTCAAATCTTTAATAATTCTTTATTTTAAAAATCAAACCTTAATATCGTTGCATTGTTTTATTGGCAACAAATCATAGACAAATGTTGCCATGTTCTTGAATTTCACAACACACTACAGCTAAAAGACAACACGTGACAATGTGAGAGTAAAACAGTTCCAGACACGCTACATTTAAAAAAATAAGTGATTCATGCTTCGCATTAAACCAATAAAATGGTCAAACAGAGTAAAACCTGACCACAAAAAACAAAAAAAAACAAAAAAAGCAGCATGTTTCAGGCTATTTACAGTGATAATACAAGGCACGCTAAAACTTAATGTGACTACCTAGAAAATATTTGCTTGGAAATTGCAGAAAAACAGAAAATATTAAGCATCAGACTCTCAAGGTGGGAGTGGGGGGTCGGGGGATTAATGTAAAATTAAAAGTGGAAAAGATTTCTACAAATAACTTAAAAAATCTATCATTGAAAAGTATTGATAATTGCCAGTGTATAAGGACTGTTAGTGTACACGCAGACATCTTTTAAGAAATGGTCAGAGTAGCTCCGCCTCTATTCTAAGTCTGGTTTAATAGAAAAACAAGTCGGATTCTATTCAGAAGAAGACAAAAGGAGACAAAAGTGCAAAGAGGAACTACTACTCACTACACATGTGACATCAGTGTGTACAACCATAGCGTGATCCATCCTGCTCTGCATCTGATTGGCTGATTAAGGAAGGCCTAATTAACCAAACAAAAGCCATACAGCCAATGATGCCTTCACAGACCAAGGGAAATTTCACAGTTAAACTGTCTTTGAGACAAGAGAGAAAAATATTAAAAGAACTGTTTGTTTTGTTTTACATGAACATTTCTGGTGTTTATCCAAAAACACTGACTTTTGTCTCTTAAGATCTTAATTTAATCTCTGTACAATTTAAAAAAAATTTTTTAATGAATTATTTCCTAGAGGTCTTCATAAATGTGGATTTAATAAATATGCAAATAAAAAGGCAACAACCAATATACAGCATCAAACACTTAATGACCACACAGGAAAGAAAAAAAAGCACAAACATGAAAATTTTAACTAAACTTATTGGAAACTTTAAAATTATTAAAGCTTTGCACGATCTCTTTGGAACTTAGAAAAACGTTTTGACGTATATTTATATTCCATACTACTGTTTTTTTTTTACTATCACCAAATACCACACCACTCTCCGTTTACATTAGCTACACTGAGTCATGAATCCACTCCAAACTAGTTGCAACGTGCCCATGGAAAAATGTCCAAGCGTGTGAAATATGAATATTAGCGACCAAGTATAGCAAAAAATTGGTTTATTTAAAAAAAAAAAAAGTACTAGTTCTCTAGACACCTCCAGACCCCACTGTCCTCTGATCAGCTGCTAACTCAACTCAGTTATAGTGGATCTTAATGGTCCGACCAATGAGGAGGAAGAGGAGTCCGGCCAGGAGGCAGAAGAAGATGCCGATGGGGGCAAACATGAAGGACAGACCGTAGCTGAGGGACAACTGATAATCTGGACACATGGACTTATGGTAGTCCATGTAGTGCTCCACCACGTCCAACACCTGAATCCACAGAACATACATGACCACCACCACCAGCAGGAAAATACCTGGAGCAGAGAAGAGAAGAAGATCACGTACGTGACGACGTATGAGACGAACTGAAACACTCTCACTCAAATATAAAAGAACACGGGTGTGATGGTTCTGAATGTCCGACCTGACGTCAGGAAGAGTACGCCTCCGGCTTTGTACAGATTATGGCTGGCAAACGGAGCAGCGCAAATGATGAAGAATCCCCCCAATACCACAGACACAACGCCGATCAGCATGAAGACGCTCCAGAAGCCTCTATAAACTGAACATCGCACATGTTTGTCACTGCGTGTGTGTGTGTGTGAGTGAGTGGAAAAGCCAGAAAATGAATATAAAATCACTTTATGATAAGATGTCAATAGAAATACAGTAGTAAACCACTCACTTATGGCTGACTCGTACTCTGTGGAGTTGTTGATGGGATGAGAGATGGGGAACGGGAAGAGGTAGGCATGCATGCAGACTTTGGTGTCAGGCTGGTTGGCTGGAGGGAAAAGAATTTGTTCAAAAAATTGAGAAGGATTTAATGAAAAAAAAATAGTCATAGTCAGGAAAAACTCCTTTGTTTATTACATTTATGAACATTTTTGTTTTATATACAGAAAATATTTTTTTTAATTGAAGTGTACTGAGTTATAATGTCTGTTTGGCTAAGATTGAGAACACAGTTGGATTTAGTTTTCTAAGCTTCTCCAGTTCTCTCTGGTATTTTTATTTCTAAACTCTATATGAAATTCCACAGATGTTTACAAAGCCCATGTGGTCCTGACACTAATCCAACTATTTAACAGGAAACAGCTTCTTCAGCTAATCCAACTATTTAACAGGAAACAGCAGATACTTACTCTTATCTTAACGTCACTTTTGTTTTCCTATACTTGGCCTTTTTGGTTTCAATTTTTTTATGCTTGACCAACATAATAATACTCAGTTTAAGACAAGTCATTAATGGACTCACTGAACCACAGCTTTGAGATCAGGTCTTCATCATCCATGTTGCCTTTAAACGAACACCTCCAGAAAAACCCTTCATGGTACACAGTAACAAAGCTCTGATCCTCAGGATCCTGTATCACCACATCACCACGCTGTAGAGTTGGGAAAGATAAATATACGTTTTAATGACATTTTACAGCAAAAAATACTTCAAACACTTCAATATCTGCTAACACTGTCTGTGGAGGCCGATCCTGTGAGACAGGTTTCACTGAGATGTCGTAGTGCAACAGAACAGCTGCTGAGAAAGTTCAAGGGTCAAGCTGAGTCAGCACCTCTGGCCACGGCCAGGTTTGGTTTGGTGCCTAAAGCAGAAATGCAGGTCGAGGATTTTCCCATTCAGGAAACACCGAAAAGGTTTATGGTTTCTATTTTTGTCCGAGAAAAAAAACAATTGATCAGGCAATTGTCAACTGGTGGCCCGCGGGCAGAATTGGGCCCACTAGATTGTGGAATAGGGCCATCAAGCAGACTCCAAATCTATCAAATAATAATGTTAGACATATTTTGCATATGTAAAACCAAATCCCCCATGAGTGTGACGATATAATCCCAGTTTTAAACATAGATTAAATTGACTGATTTATCTTAAAAAACCAGTGTGTTTTTTTCGTCAAAAGGAAAGTTGTAAAAAAATAAAAAAATAAAGCCCCAACTATTGTACTTAGAGACATTTCTATTCTATATCATTTCTATTTTTTTAAACCACAAATTTAGTTTGTAACGTAAAGTAACACATAATAATAATCTGTTTTATTCTGTTGTCACTATTTACAACTTCAAACCTTTATTTTCAAACATAAAATCTGTGTCATGTGCATAATTAAAATGAAAACAAGTTTTCATTTTAATTATTTGCCTTTTCACACATTTTCCTTTGAGAATAAGATTAAGACAATGTTGTATCTGTAACATGAACATCATTAACATTAAGAAATATTAACATTCAGTGGGTAGATTAGACATTATTTGCAACAGTAAGGTTATTATTAACCAGTATGTAATCCCACAGGACCATTTCATGTTGATTATCGTTAACACGTGCTCTGACCACACTGCTGCAGGAATCCTGTGGGAACCCCCCCCCCCCCCAGATCTGTCAGAGAAAGTGACGCCTTAACTACAAAAACAAAAACAGGAACTCCACCTCAGAGCTGGTCCTGAGACTTCAACACAGTTAATGCTTGTGTCTGCCACCCTACACCACCCGTGGCTATGCTAACATGCTCGGTGCTTTGGCTGGTGATGATCAGGTGAGCCACAGCCTCACAGACCTGTGTCCAAGGGACAAAACATCTGCTTTCTGATTGGTTCATGCGCTCTATAAATCCTGATCAAGCTCTAAAAATAAATCGACATAACCGATTTGACTCAGAATTACTATGGACTATATACACCTGTGATATGTCGTTGGTTTTATTGTGCCGATATCAAGTCTCAGCTGCAGTATTAGGGCCTACTATGAGAAGCTAGGTATGTTCCAGTCGGTGATATTTAATACACCACCATACCACTGGGACGACTGGTATTTGTGTTGCTATGATGGGGAGACATAGTACTCAGTCAGTGGTAGTCAGTCACTGCATGCACGCAATCAGTACATTACAAAGTGTCTGATTCCATGAACAGGACCAGCTCCTACATGGTTCCATTATGATCATAGGTTAAAGCCCAGTAATGCTGACAAAGACTTTTTACACTATTTCCTGTCTTTGGTGTTTTAATTTTTCCAAAACAAAGACGTATTTATAGATGATTCTTTTTTTTTTTTTTTTTTTTTTACAAGCATTCATGTCTTCAAAGTTGAACCACTCACCTCCACAGGCACTACAGAAGGACCAACAGTTCCCTCTGAGCTGTGAGTGCAGCTCTCTGAGGCAAGCAGCCAGTAATCAGTTCCAAAAGATAGGAGGATGAACACGGCTGCCAACGCCCCAAACAGACCGGCAAAAAACAGTGCCACGCTCAGCTTCATGGTCCAAAAATCACCAGCTCAGTTCAGTTCGAGATGTCCTTACACGCCCTGAAAGTTTCCTTCAGTCAGTGAACACGTGAAGAAGCTGAAAAAGTCACTTATCGTGCACTGCAGCGAGAAAGTTACAGGATCTTCACTCCACTCCTCTGCCTGCTGTCTGTGTTAATGGAGGACAAGACTGGGCACATGACTCCATTTGGACCCTCCACCGGGGTCCGCAGGCATCTCATACCAACCCGCCCACCTTCCCTTTACCACCCCCCGTGGCTATTTTTGGGGGGTCTGATTGAGTCCCTGTGCTGTGTGTGGAGCAGTTGGAGCAGTGTGAAGGGAGGGGATGATCACAGAAATAACTGGTGGCAACTGGACACCCGGCGTCTTCATGGGAATGTCAAGGCAGGGCGAGAGAAAAAGCACCGAGAAGAGGAGAAAGAGTTCCACAACAACCTGAAGCCTGTGACCTGAGAGAGCAACATTTACAGACACACATACAGTACAACTCTCATTTCCTGTAAATAGGTGTCGACGGGAATGTAAAGGTTAGTGAGATAGGTTAGAGGCTGGTAATGATTTCTGGCTGTTTCAGACACTAATGCACACATAATTTAAAAATATAAAGACAAAGCTACGACTACATTATCTATAGGTAGAGTGTAGAGAAATTTCTATCCAAAAATTATTTCCATCTGCCAGTTCTGACTGTTTGAGATGTGAAAATGTAAGTGCTTAGATTTAAGATTTGCGGTTTATGCATCAAATTGTATACATTACATTGTCAAAAGTGTAAGGACGTAGGCATCCTCTCTGTTTTTCTACATGGTTACCATCCACAAAAGATCAAATTCATCCGTATCTTAAAGATAGCACATACAAATATAAAACAACAAACGTTTTATGTTAGATACTGAGCTCTCACTTGATGTAGATGTGGTACAGTGGTGGCCTGTATTCTGTTTGGTTACAAACGTAACAAAATACGATTGTAAAGTCAATTAGAAACATGGTGACAACAACCAATGGGGTTGTTAGCCCGGGTCAAAGTGAAGGTGATGGGAAACACGCTGTTTATTAGCATGTGAGGCAAACATTTAGCAGTGAACCTAAATGTAGACTCTGACTAATTTGCACAGAGATGTGACAGAGAACAAACGCTCAGCCCTCTCTTTCGTTTTCATTCTCTCTCCTTCTTTCTCTATCTCTGTCTCCATTTAGAGATCCAATTTCAAATGTCAGCGACTATTTTTTTAGTTCTATGGTGTCACTCTCCTCTGTTACTTTTTGTTTCTTTTATTTCTTAAGAATGTCAAATAATTGTGATTTTTTTTCCAAAAAAGATTTCAAAATAAGGGAAACATATGTACATTTTCACATCCTGTTAATATTTATTTAACTGGTATATTCCGATCATAACAGCTTTACAAACTTGTATGCATCTCTCAGAAGACTACAGAAATGTAACGTTAATAGTCTCTGCCATACCTCAGTTAGTCCAGCAGGTAGAGACAAAGAGCAATCAATTGTGCAAAGCCTAATGGACTAAACTTTTTGTGAATTAAACAACAATTGTTGCAGGATTGTTTGTAATTATTATACTATATACTGTTCAAAACAAATACAGTAATACACAATACAAATACACAAATACATTGTGAGAAGTAAAAGAATTACTGCTTATTTTGATTATTTGTTGGTTTTGGTATTATTATTATTATTATATATTATTTTGTTAGATATTATGTTAACGTTACTGTTGCGCAATTATATTTTTCAAATTAACGTATATAGTAAATGAGTTGTCTTTGTAATTAATTAATTTATGTGTTAAAAGTTGAGTTAACCACAACAAACAAGAAAGAAATCTCTCAAGGAAAGACGTTTTCTTTACTACCATTTCCGTAAATCTGTATTATGACGTCTTTAGACGAAACCATTTGCTGGTTCAGCTGCGGGGGTGTCCGAGCCGTCGAAGCATTAATTCTACTCTTGATGGAATTAAACAACGCACGTACCTGTCAAATTATGGACGTCCTGTAAGTATTTCTGCTCTTTGCTTCCGTGGTCATTGACAGCGGGATGTCTAAGGACAAGACCGAAAGCTGTGGGAGCCCTTCGCCCCTACGGGTCAGGCCGCCGGCTTTGCGTTGACAGCAATGGAGCAGTTCTTCCGCTTTGTATGAGCTGCAGTCGCCGGTGCTGCCAAAGCCACAGGCACACAGAGAAGATGAGCAGCCAGCAGACATGTAGACCATTATTCCTAAAAACCAGAGGGAGAAGAAAAATCATATTGTGTATCTATGTGGTGGGCTTTATGGTGAGTGACGACTTTTCATTTATCTGTGACAGAAAAGGCAAATTCGTGTAGTGTCACCTGTTCATGATTTCATGGAGTACTAATCGTTGTTAAAATAAAAATGCAAAGGCTTCAAATCATTCCAGAAGCACAAAATTCATTCTCAACTGCAGCATAACTGTGCAGGAAAATTACATTATATTTTTTCTAAAAGTAGTGTTTGTACAGTTGTGGAGCTTTGACGTTTAAGAACTGAAAAAACTGCTCCACTGTGATGTGACGTGTAACAGTTAAATGTAATTCGACTAAAAAGGATTAAGGAGTAACTGCAGCTGATAAATTGCTTCATGGCTTCATAAATAAAGAAATACGATGAAAAAGTAACCCCAACAAAGATGCGAAAAGATGCAGAAAATCCTAAAAATATGCCAAACAGTTTAAAAGACAGCTATAAAAGCAATAGAATGTCATAGAATATAGTTGAAAATGCCTTAAATGGAAGCCAAAAAACATAACAATATTCCCAAAATATAGATAAAAGTTAACTAAAGATTACATGTCCAAGGATTGTGGGGAAAAAAAACCTCTTTAATAAATGTTATTCATTTTTTAAACAACATTTAATGCCTCAAAACAAACACATAGTTGGTTTTTCCATATTTGAGGTAAGTCTCAAACTGGTCACCTGTGTCTGCTTCAAAATAAAGTTGCTGTAGACCACGACAGGTTGTGTTGACATCTAAGTGTTCTACACCACTTCAGAGACCAGCTGTCAGCAAAGTAGGTCGCAAAAGGAAGCAGTCTTGAGTTAAATGTGAGGAAAACCAGTCTCAACATGATGCACAATGTCAAAGGGACCATCCTGCCATGACTTTCACCACAGCAGCTGCCTTTTAACACACAGAGAGGAGACATTATTTGGACAGTAAAGTCCCTGATGATAAAGGAATTAGTGTCATGTGCAGAACACTATGATCTGCTGTGTGACTTGAATCAGGGGCAGCTTTTGAGCTGAGAATGTAGACAAACAGGAAGAGCCCTTTTTCCCCCAACAGCTTACGCCCTCTGTTGTCCAATTATTAGGTTGTGTGCAAAAAATAGTTACATCTAAAGTAACTGGATAAATAATAATTTTTTTTTTTTCAGAACTGAAGAAGCCTCTTGGATGAGAGTCTTAAAAAAAAAAACAAAGAAAAACAACAATTTTGTCCAGTTGCTTTCAATGTAACTATTTTTTGGATTAAATGACCTGGATGACTGAGAACCTACACAGACATGTTAGGTTGTGTGGTTACTTGTTACTGATAAAATTACATTTTGTGTTTTGCTTTTTTTCTTGTTGTTTGCTTTAGGACTTGTTTGGAGTGAGCATGATCATTCCACTGCTTAGCCATCATGTCAAGGCTCTAGGAGCCAGTCCCACTGTGGCGGGAATTGTGGGTAAGTAGTGCTATTGATTTACACAAACATCAAGAAGTTTAGAATTAATTTAAGATGTAATATTCAAAAAGGAAAAAAACAAAAAAAAAGGAAATATATATATATGTATATATATGTATATATATATATATATACACTGTATTTAAGAAAATAATTTTATTATTTCATTTAAGTAGAATTTTTTGGTCGGTACAAAAAATTAAAAAATTAAAAATATGATAAATATCAGTTAATTTCAACCACAGTACTGGTTCTTAAGTTGTATAGAACATAAATTCTCATCTTCTATTCATTTCTCTGTTACTGCACAAGTAACATGTCTTGCATATTCCCACAAGCAAGTACATTTTTTATCGTGGTCACAGTTTAGAAAATACAATATATATATATAGTTATATAAAGGTCTTGCTAGTGTAGATATTTTCAACCCATATTTATCTTTTTACTGTTACAGGATCTACATATGGGATCTTACAGTTCTTCTCAAGCACAGTAGTCGTGAGTACTGACTTGGTTTCTCCCTGTCTCTGAGTACCACTCTTTAACTCAGTGTCTTCTGCCTAACAAGGCGTGCTCACAGTTAGTGGTTGCATTCCATGTTAACTCTGGTATTCTATGAAAACAATCAACAGTGGGTGTCCGACGTTGATTGCGGTCACACAACATGTCCAGTCTTTATATATTCACACAAAGAAATGTGTCCTAGTGAGCTGTAGCCTCACAGCGATTACAACAGGAAAAAGGTGATCTATGTGCCTCTAGGCAAACGTCATATTTAACATTAAGTTTGACATAATAAAATAAAATAATAATAAAATATGAAGGATTTTCCCAATCAAGCCTCACCCAAGCTGTTAGGAAATCAGCCTTTTCATCCTCTGCATTTTACATTTCCACATTTCTCTCCTCTCAACACCCACAGTTGCTGAAATTGGTTTAATTCACCAGGGTCATGCGACAAATTAACCAGAATAAGGAGACATCTGTTTTTCCCCAGAACTGCACTGAGCCCTGAGGAACACAGAGATCCACGAACAGCCGTGTCTCCGTCATGATGAACCCATCAGACCCTGCCCAGAACACAGTGAACTCATCTTGTCCTGATTTCATTAAGTCGTTATATAGTCACATACAGTAAATCTGTGAGAAAACGAGGGTGAGAATCCAGTCATGTCTGGTGTAATGGTTGAGGCTCTGTAGTTCAGAGGAAACACAGGATTTGGTATTGTTACCAATGCGCTCTTAGACCCTCCTGGGTTGAAATAGTTAGTCATTCTTCTTTTGAAGGTTTCTACCACAGTTTGTCTGAGATTTGTCCTTGACTTTTACCAACTCTTTGCTGTTTCCGTAGCTCTCTTCTTTGCTCACTTTCAACTTGTTCTTGGATTAGCCTACTGTAGGTTCATTTTTCCCCACTAATTTCAAGACAATATTTTGCTCATTTAGTTTAATCTATCGTGTTTTCCAATTCTGTTATTTCATTTTTCCATTTCTGGCTATCTTTACAGCTAACTTTTGTCATGAGTTTGATCATTTTAAATTTCCGTCTCCTGCCGTTTTTGATTGGCTCTGATACTTGTCTTCTGTTACATGTTACCTTGACTGACTAGCTCTCTTAAAGCTACCATTTAGCTATTTTCTACTTGTCACTTAAGTCGTTTTATGACAGTTCACCTTTGTCGTACTCGTACACAATTTATTGCAAATTAAACGCCAACATTTAATTTCCTACCAAATGCATTTTACATTGGAAAAACATTGGTTTTATTCGATTCACTTACCGTGTTACTTTGACGAACGAAGTCGGGTGGTTATTCCGTAGCCAAAACAATACCAACATTGTATGCGCTTGGTCGTTAGTAATAACTTTTCTGCCATTTTCCCCCCCACTTGGCAACTAATTTCTTCTGCAACTTGTACAGACCTGAGCGTCACACGCGGCAACACGCGGGTGTTGTGTTACATTGTTTTCATTCCGTTTGAGTTGCACTTAACTATAGTTCCGGCGATAAAAGGTTTTCTGATGGAATTCAGGAAACGTTACGATCAATTAACCGTAGCGCTTCATACTGAAAATAATTATGATATTGAGTAATAATAATATGAACTAATGTTTTTTTTCCCCTCTCTTGTTCGTTGTCTCTTAGGGCAGCTGGAGTGATGTGGTCGGCCGTAAGTACTCGCTCCTCACCTGCCTGCTGATTAGTGCTTTCGGCTATTGCCTGCTGGGGATGTCCACCAGCATCGCTCTGTTTGTCCTCGCTCGGATACCAGTGGGTAAGTGGGACCACTGTCTGAAACCAATGGGTTTGTAATTGTCACTCACGTGTTGTCATTGTAGAGTAGTATAGTCATAATAAAAACAAGAAGAATTCAACTTCTCAAATCTCTTTCTCATACTGTTGCAGAAAGAATCATACTGTCTTATTTATGTAGAAAAAAGTTGCTTTTTTCCGCCCCAGTTTTTATTTCCCTTGAGCAATGCTTTTGTTATTAGCATTGGTGTTAAATTACATCCTGGATTTAAAGACAAAAACCTTCCAGGCTCAGTAACGTTTCAGTTATGAAGACGGATCAGGTTTAAACCTCACCACCAACAACCAGCCAGTCACTAATTCTTCTCCTCTTCTGTGTCAGGGCTCTTCAAACACTCCATATCCATCTGCAGAGCCCTGCTGTCTGACCTGGTGCTCGAGTCAGAGCGCCCTCTGGTGATGGGACACTTTAATGCAGCCTCCAGTGTTGGCTTTATCCTGGGACCTGTGGTTGGAGGCTACCTCACTGAGTATGAAGGAGGATTTTACACTTCTGCCTTCACCTGTAGCGCCATCTTTCTTATTAATGCAGGTGAGGATGAGTGAGTTGTTCCTGTGAAGAAATGACAGTAGACCACGACACATCAATAAAGAACAGAGGCTATTGTGTTTTATGGAATATTGTTCAGTGCAATTCTATTAAAAATACTAACATGACTAACTTTTAGAACTTTGTTTTAGCTATCTTTTGGGCTTAACAATTTAGCTAAAGTTTTTGTTGTATGGCTAACTTTGTTGAACAATTATTCTACTTCTAAATCCATCTTTGAGTAAACTCAGTGTTACCATTTGGGTAAAGTATTGACTATGTGTGTTTGTAATTCCAGGACTGGTGTCGATGCTGCCTTGGAGCGAGACACTGGCTCAGCAACAAGACACCAACTCCAGCAATAACACAAGTGCACTCTGTCATAACCACCACTGTAATAAGGCTGTACAGAATGGTTCCCATGTAAAGAGACAACACACGTCACCAATAGAAGTGACTGAAACTGTGCAGAACTACAGTGGTGTTCAGTGGAGGCAGATGCCTCTGCTCCAGCCTGTGTGGAATCAGCTGTCATTGGTAGGAACGAGGATCCACCTGGTAGCCTCCTCCGACATGTGGGACCTCTTCATGGTGCGTCTGCTCATGGCCATCTCCATCATGCTTTACTACAGTAACTTTTCCCTGGCCATGGAGGAGCGCTTCTCACTCAAACCAAAGATCACAGGTTACCTGATCAGCTACAGCAGCACACTGGGAGCTCTGGCTGGGTTCCTGGTAGGGCCGGTCACCAAGCTGTACAAGAACAACATCGCTGCACTGCTGCTTCACTCCACGGTGCTCACATGTTCACTCATCTTCCTCTACACTGCTGCATCCAGTGTCTGGGAGGTGGTGCTCTCCTCCTCTTTCTTTGCTATTTCTACCACCATTGGACGGACATGTATCACAGACCTGGAGCTGCGGAGGGGAGGGGCCCAGGCCAGCGGGACTCTGATTGGTGCGGGACAGTCAGTAACAGCCGTTGGTCGCATCCTGGCTCCCCTTCTCTCTGGTCTGGCTCAGGAGTTCAGTCCCTGTGGCCCTCCAAGTCTGGGAGTGGTCCTGGCCTTAGTAGCTGTTGGTCTTCTTCTGATCCGCATCCCTAAATGGAATGGAAAAGGAATGAGCAGCACAGTGAACCCACTGAAATTGGACTGAGGTTTATACACCCATTCACATTCACAGATATTTGAACCTCGTTTCTTCTCAGATCAACCAATCAGCTATTTTCCTCTTTTTTTACCTTCAACCATAGTTTGCATTACAAAATGGATAGAAAGCACTTTTTCTTGCAGCCTAAAGTGTTGCAAATGTACACATTTTGGGGCCATGACGTTCTGTGTGTTGTAGCCAAGTGTTGCAGCTAATCAACCTGAGGTAAGAAGTCCCTGATCATTTTCTAACCACTAATTATGACGATGTTGTTTACAGATATTTTCTATGACCTCAGTACACAATGGTTTCCAACACTACTGGTGGTAGAGACTGTTCCTGTTGTGAATGTAAATATTTTTGCTCCACTTTTTGTATTTTCATTCTCAAGTTGGTGTAGATTAATTTATCTTGTGTTTTTGTGAACAAAGCTGTACAAAGGATCACTGTTGATCTGAGAGAACTGTCAAAATGAATGTTTGGTTTCTGTATCCTTGAAAGTCACAAGAATAAACAATGTTTTGTATCCACAAAGTCTGGGGCCAAAACTT